CACACATTTACCACATCCAAAACTGTATATCTAATTTTGCACCTTGAGGTGACTGGTCCTCTGGAGCCATGGTTGGTTATAACATTTAATCTTTCTAGTTTTTCTTTACAATGTTGTTAATTGTATAAGTTGTTCTCCTAGTTCTGATCATTTTGCTGTAGAAATTCATACAAGTTTTGCTAGGACTCTCTGAAACCAAGCTTTTCATCATTTCTTATGACACAATCAAATTCTGTTATATTCACATATCATAATTTATGGTTATTTTCCAATTGACGGGCACCGCAGTCCCTGTCTTCATGTTTCAGAATTCTGTCTTTCACTTCTTACTTACTTTTAATTGGCAACAGTGACGAAGATGCCACCTTATGCTCCTAAGGTCTCTAGTTTCTTTTTCAAAGGTTCCCCATTCTTAAAAGTACTTTCCTTCTGGTGGGGACATTTGTCCTTGTGAGAAATGGGTAGAAGTAATGAGGTTTAGTAAATCTCAAGAAGCTCTCCATGGCATCCTTGAATTATGCCAAGGGAAGACTGCATGTCATTTTATTCATTTCAGTGACTTATGACCACCTCAGTACCCCTGAGAGAAGGTCAGGACAGAGATTAAGGCTGAACAAATAGAGCTGAGGAGATGCTGAGACCACCAAGTGAAATAGTATAGCGGAAAAAGAGGAGACAGAGCCTTGAGGGACACCCACTGTTGGCAGTGCAAAAACTGGATAAAGATTCCCTCAAAAGATATTGAGAAGGCACAATCAGACAGGCAGGACAAAAATCAGGAGAGAGCAAAGTCACAAAAACCAAGAAAATGCTGAGTACCAAATTTTGCAATATTAGATCCAACAGATATAAGACTACTTACTTTTCTTTTAAGGAAGAAACTAGAATCCTACAGATTCTTTCACCATTTTTCTTCCTATTTGAGACTTAACAAGTTAGTCACAGCTGGGTATTGTTTCAAGCTAAATTGGGCAATGGCTGCAGGTATTTAAATATATCATGTGGAACAGTAGGGAAGCCTCACACTCTGAGCTTGTACCTGATCGGCAAGGTGATCATTTGTCCCCTGGCAGAATGACAAATGTCAGTGTCACAGTGATCTGATTCTACAATATAAAACTGCTGCCTATACTTCCTGGGTGTGTTTGTCAAAATCTGTCCTTAAAATAGATTTTTTTAAAAAAATCTACAGATATTGCTTACATAGACACAATGCATGATACCAAAATGCATCTGCTCTCAAAGCCTACTTAAGATACCTCCATCAAAGTTATAGAGAGCACAACAAAACTGACAATTTTTGAGTCTTGATTGGATTCTGAGTAGGAGAGGAAGTACCTTTTAAAAATATGACTGTTAAAATTACAGCACAGTGAATGATAAACATTTTGTTGTAAATAAAACATCTTTCAGGAGAAAAACAGGAGATGACAGTTTGGAACTGTAGCTGTAGAACAATAACATAAATGGTCAGTTTGGTCAGACAAGATATGATTCAGAAAAAAAAGTTACTATTTGTTGAGTATACTACAGACAAGTCAAATGACTAATTAACTGAAATTTTCTCTTTTTAGTGGGTTCTTGTCATATTGTGCAGGCACAGTCAGTCACATACAACTTCACAGACTGTAATTCAGGACAACTACAGGCATACTTGCCATGAAATATGGAGCCTATGAGAATAAAGTATTAGGAAGCATGGATAGCAAAAAAAAAACTTTTTAAAAATTATTATTTGAATGGAAAATTCTCAAAATGAAGATTCATTTTTTTCTTCCCTCCAGTGGGCTTCTATTCTTTTGTCAAATCAAAGGCTTTGTTTTCTTTTCATTCTCCCAGAATTGAATAAAAAATAGCGTGATTAATATTAGACAGAATTTAGTCCTATTCTTTTAAATATTATTTTTATTTCCCAGTTATAGGCAAAACAGAACTGATAAGAAATAGAGTTAGGAGAATTCTGTATAAAGACATGATCCAATTTTCTTATCCAGATGCCCATAAAATTCTCTTTGATTTTTAGTGCTAACAAATTCAGAAATGGGGAATCAGATTGATATTTTTTTCATAATTTAAACTGTAATTTTAAGGGAAAATTAAATTAGCTGTCCATTTGGCTATTTGTAAACTCTAACAAAAAATCATCAGAGTAGTAGTTGCACACCAGAGGTGTCATGGATATAAGCATCGATATGGCCTTAAGTTTGGGTCCTCAAAGAATTCAGAAGGGTAAAGAAAGCATTTATTAAGCACTTAAGTGCCAAGAACTGTGATTAGTTCTAGGAATACCAACCAAGATAGTCCCTGCCCTCAAGAAGTTTACACTCTAATAGGCAAAGACTACACATATAAAGATGTGATGGGCAGGGAAAGGTGTTTTAGTCTGGGAAGTCCCAGGAATAGTAAGTGAAACATAGGGGAGTTGATTGACCTGCCCCATTCAAAAGGCAATAATGAGTTGATTTAATTACAGTTCTCTGCGTAAGTGGAGGGACAATTAGGTGGTACAGTGGATAAGGTGCTAGGCCTGGAGATAGGAGGAAGTGAGTTCAAATCTAAACTCAAACACATATTAGCTGTGTAACCCTAGGCAAGTCACTTAACCCTATTTGCCTCAGTTTCCTCCTCTGTAAAACTAACTGGAGAAGTAAATGGCAAACTATGGTGTCACGAAGATTATGATATAACTAAATAACAAGAAGTTTAAGTGATGTAGAAAAAGGTGAGAACTGGAATAAGAAGATGAGCAGCAAGGCAGAAAATGGCTGAGGTGAGGAAGACATTGCCAGGGAGTCTGAAGCGCAGTGGCTTAGTTTATCCTAAAGACAGAATCTTGTCTTTTAAGACAAAATGTAAGTTCTTAAGCAATATAACACTTAAAACTTTGAGTTCTGGCTCTCACATACCTTGCAAAACTAATTTCCTACTACATTCCTTCAAACACCTAAACTGGCTTTCTAGCTGTTCTCCATACACATCAGTCTATCTAGTAGATTGTCTAAGTTCACATATGAAGCTCTTGCTACTTGTTCATTGTGTAAAACCAAGGTAAACGTTCTCTTGAAGGAATTTAGATCTCTCTTTTCCCCCAAAGGGGAAAATGACCAGACAAGTTCTCCAGACTTAAATTCCCCTTCTCCCTAAAAGGGAAGAAAACCAGAGGAAGATGATGCCTGTGAAATTAAAGAAAGGTTTTTATTAAGCAGGAAAGTAAAACAGGCACATGGGGAGTGCTGGTCTATGCTGGTAATGGCTGGGGAGAGTTTATATATATATTTTAATAAAGGAAGGTAAAGAATTTGGAGGGAAAGGTGGGCTTAGAAAGGAATGAGTCAATGAACACCATCCCTAAGGGGAGGAGGACTGGGAAATTCTAGGTGTCAAAGCTGTGGCCCTTTGAAATACAAATCAGAAGGCATCCTTGGTGATAAACAGTCCATAGCTCAAAGCTTGATAAGGAAATGTCTCTAAAAACAGGATAATTCCATAAGCCCCCTAACCAAAGTTAGGGGAGTCTCTGGAGATAAGGTTGGCTCCAAAACCCATTAAGTCTTTGAAGATAGAGATGTCTTGAAGGTCCATAAACCACCAAATGGCTCAGGGTCTGTCTCTAAGCTGGTATGAGCTTCACTGGCTTCAGAGGTGCTGATGTTCTGTGTGTCCAGCTAGGTTTACTCTTGGTCACTGTCAGCCAATTCAGCCAGTCCTCATATAGTTCTTCTGGTTACCTGGATAACTGGGGGGCTCGAGCAAATCAAGGTATCCATTTTCACAACTGGTTGATTAATTGATCTTTTACCTCCCTGCCTCTGCAAAAGTGGTCGTTCTAACTGGAATGCTTTCCCTCCTCGCATGAGCTTTTGAGAATCCCTTAGTTTCCTTCAAAGCAACGCTTGGCTTAAGTGCTACTTCCTGTATAAGACCTTTCCAGGTCCTGCCCTTTCTCAGCTGTTAGCAGTCTGTCCCTCTAGAAATTATTTTATATATGTAACCCTCAGTCATTAGATGATACTCCTGTTTGACGGGCAGATTTTAAAATGGCCCATTTTCATAGTAATTCTGCTCTTTGATGTGTCATTGTGAAATCTCTTGGGCTATTTCACCTTCTCCCTTTTCTCTCCTTTCCTTCCCTAGAAATATCCTCAAAACTCTTGCTATACAGGAAGACACCTGGCCCTCTAGTCCTGTCCTGGCATTAGTTCCCTCTCTTTCCAAACTGCAAAGAAATACAGCTCCCAAAGGTCTTTGAGAGGGTGGTACATAAAACTTTGCTTATGTTTAGCACATATTTACTTTTGTGAATGCTACAACTTCCCCAGTAGAATTTAGCTTCTTGAAGATGGCAGGACCTGGGATTTTCTTTTTCTTTCTTTCTTTCCTTCTTTCTTTCCTTCTTTCTTTCTTTCTTTCTTTCTTTCTTTCTTTCTTTCTTTCTTTCTTTCTTTCTTTCTTTCTTTCTTTCTTTCTTTCTTTCGTTTGATTTGGTTTTTACTGTATCCCCAGCACACTGTCTTGCGCACAGCAGATACTTAATAAATGTTTGTGGGATTAAACTGAATTAACCTTTTTCAAGATTTCCCAGAGACTGTCAAGTCAAATGTTTTTCCAAGAATATTGACACTGACAAAAGAAAATAGATAAATCAGTGTTGAAAAAATCATGAGGTACATGTTACACCCCTGAACTGAAAGGGGTTAAAAACAGGATCGTGATTGTGCTTGTCTATTTTCCTCCACCAGATGTATTCCCTATTTGTATCTTTTAAAAGTCTGAATCTTGGGAAATACTTTTTTTTTTAATTCCCTTTAAGTTGCATAAAAGAAAGCATAGATTTGGCACATAGCTTAGTGCTCCCCCTTCTGTCCTTCCTGGTTCAAGCTCAGCTTATTATCACTTTTGAGGATAGAATTTGAATTTTTCTCAAATACTTTTGAATTTCAGGTTACTTTAGGATAATTATACATGATTAGATCATAACGCAATTTCTGTCTTTCTTGCAGACTTGAATCTCAAATGACAGCTGATATTCAAACTATTCTGCAATTACTGCAGAGGCAAACTCCCGTGGTCCCACCTGCTTATAGTATGGTGACAACAGGGTCAGAATATCAAAGACCAACTCTCCAAGTGATGAAAACTCATCAAACTGTAGCATCTATTAAAACTGACAGAAGCTTTAGTCCTTCTTCACAAGTAAGTATAGACACAACTTAATTCTAAGTTAGTTGGAAACAATTAGTGTTATCTAAAAGCTCTTTTGGAATACTAAATTACTGAAGTTCTGGGAAGACTAGTCCCTAAAATATAGGGAATCAAGATAACTTCAGTTGAGTTGTGTTAGAGGGGAGGGTGTAAAGCTGCTGAAGTGGCTTCACCATAACTATCACCAAGGTAGAATGGATAAGATTGTATTGCCTTCTTCTCCCCTCCATGTCTTAATAAATGCTAAACTGATTTCACCTGTATACAAATAGGTGAAGGGAGATGAGTTACATACACTATTATATGTATAACTACGTGTGTTGGGGTAGGTAGGTGGGCCAGTGGACAGAGTGTCTGCCCTGGAATCAGGAGAACCAGAGTTTAAATCCAGCTTCAGACACTTGACACTTACTAGCTATGCGACCCTGAGCAAGTCACTTAACCCCAATTGCCTCACAAAACAAAGACAAAAAAAAACTACACATGTAATTTTGTAGCCTTGTTCTATCTCCTAAACTTTAACTTAATATTTCCAACTGTATGTCCCTAGGGCATCTCAAATTCAATATATCCAAAATGGAAATTATTATCTTCTCCCAAAACGTGCCCTTCCTCCAAGTTTTCCTATTTCAGATAAGGACACCTCCATCTCCCCAGTCACCCAGGTTCATATTCATGGTGCCATCCTCAACTCTTCCCCTCTGATTCACTTTCCATATCCAATTAGCTGCCAAATTTTATATATTTTTCTTCTACAATATATCTCACCTCAGTACCTTTGCCTTCTTACATGAACCCCTAGGATATTGCAACACCTCTAATTGGATTCATGGCATCTACCATTCTTCAACACAGCTGCCAGAATAGTCTTCCTAAAGTATAAATCTGACCATGCCATTGACCTTTGTTAATAATTTTCATTAGTTCCTTGCTGTCTAACAGATAAAATGTCAACTTCTCAGCTTGGCCTTTCACAGTCAGGCAGAATTCTGCCTACCTTTCCAGGCTTACTTCACATTACTCCCCTCAAGTACTCTGTTTCCCAGACTTAGCATTTCATTCCTATTTCCACAATTTTTATCACCTCTCTCCAGTGCCTAGAATGCATTCCCTCTTCACCTCTATTGTTTAGAATTTTTAGATTCCTTCAAGGGTCAGGTCATATATAATTTCCTACAGGAAGTCTTTCCTGAACTCCTTATTTATAAACATTCTTTCCCACCTCAAATCATCATGTACATATGTATTTATATATTGTCTCCTCCCAAGAGAATATAAGCTTCCTGATCACAAGGACTATTTCATTTTGTGAATCAGCTTGAGTATATAGCACTTAATTGTTTAATGCATATAGGTTGGATTGTACTGGACCTATTTTTTAAACACTACAAACAAAATTGATATTTGAAGTACAGCTAGAAAATATTAAGAGCTATCTTGGAAAACATTTCAGCAAAAATTATGGGAAAATTAGTGCAATGTGCTCTAGTCAGAAAAACTATGTTGGGGCAGCTAGGTGGCACAGTGGATAGAGCTCTGACCTTGGAGACAGGAGGACCTGAGTTCAAATCCAGCCTCAGATGCTTGACACTTACTAGCTGTATGACCCTGGGCAAGTCAGTTAATCTCAATTGCCTCACTAAAAAGCAAAACAAACAAAAACTATGTTTACAGCATGTGGTTATGTGCTCAGAAGAAAATAATACAAACTTTCTAAAATATGAAAGTAGAAAGTAATGTCTTTGTAGCTAGATTTAAAAGCTAAAAAACATACTGATTCAGTAGATTTTCTTTGTTTCCAAAGAATTATAGTACTTCTAATTCTACTTTATAACAAGTAGTTTTATTCCCATTCTCTTCCTTTGTGCTCCCTCCTGTCCTCTGGCCTATTCATACCTACTAAAGTACTCAACTCTCTCACACTCAGCTTTTCCTTGAATTTAAAATTCAAACAAATGTGGGGGGGAAATATTTTTAAAAGACTGGTTTCTTGTTTAATTTCCCATGCTCAGAATTCCCCAAACACCAATGTTTTGTAAATTACATGGAAACCTATTGAGGGGCAGGTTTGGATCTCCACTCCCCATCCTTCTCTTGCATCAACTTTTTTTGAGGGAAGAAACTATAAGACCATATCCTAAAAGAAATTTAGATTGATTTGGAAAGAAAACATTTTAACATGTTTAAATATTATAAATGATTTGAGAGGTAAGGGATGTGATATATTTTAGACAGCTATCAAAAGGATTTGTAAAATTGCCTTGTTTTCTCTTCTTCCCATCAGTGTCCTGAATTCCTAGACCTTGAAAAATCTAAACTTAAATCCAAAGAATCGCTCTCCAGTGGGGTGCACCTGAACACAGCCTCAGAAGACAACTTGACTTCACTTTTAGAACAAGAACCTGATCGCTCTTTAGAGCTCCATTCACAGCACAGTAAAACTTACCTTCATCCCATTAGGCATCATCCTTCTTTACCAGATTCTTCCCTAAGCAATATAGGAATCTTGGGTCTTCATAGGCATGTTTCTGATCCTGGTCTTCCTGGGAAATAATTGTTATTATTATTATTTTTTTTTACTATTTACTTCATATAAAATGTAAGTGCTTTTAATGGCTGCTTCCTTTTTTTGTATTTAAATCCTCTATACTTGACTCAGGGGCTAACAAGTTACCATTATATGCAAAAGTACTGTATATTTTCCTAAATTAAAGCTTGTAAGGTAAAGTTGAGCAGTTAGATGTAAATATACTTAAGAACTATGTTCACATGTTAACAACTGCCAGCATCTCAAGGCACCTTATATATTTTTTTTTTTTTATTTTTTAACACCTGCATGTTAGGAAACTCCAACTGATGTTGCATGGACAATATCATTTACTGCTTTCACTAAAACAGTACTTTGTTGTAAAATGCCTTCCAAGTAAATAAGAGGCCAGAGGATGATCTAGTTCACGGACATAACTCAGAATTTATTAAACTAGCTCATCTGGAGTTCAAAGGAGAACCAAAAAAAAATTTGTCCATTTTGAAAAGCTGTAATCATCTTTCCATATGGAGCATTTTCTACTCAATGGCACTTATTCCATTAAGGGATTATAAAATCACTAACAGGAGGAAATAACCTCTTCTAAGTAAGTGTAGGTACTTTAAGAGATTGAACTCTTTGACTTAAAGGACTATCACCAATTACACTGATAAAACACATTAATTTAGTAATTACCAGAGGCATATTTTTTTTACTACAAAAGGACACATTTATTTAATTTTCCTTTTCTTGACCCTCCTCAAAACTTATAAAACTTGGCTGACAGACTGATTCACACACTTCTTTCTTGTTATTCTACCTTAGGACATGTTGAACCACATCTATTTTCATGTCACTGTTCCTTTCAAAGGCTTATCCATCTTAACCCTCACTCTTAATCCCTCCAAAATATTGCATTTGCAGTAGAAGTATTTCTGTTTTTTTTTTATCTTTTGTGCTATATAGGCTAAAGAATATGTATATTATTTGACTAAAACATCATAGTAAAACCTCAGTTAAGTTAGAATGTTTACAGAATGGAGAATTCTGATTGGTTAGAAAAGGGTTTGAATCTAGGATTTTTGGAACAGAAAGGTTAGAGATCACCTACTCAAATCTCATTTTGCAGATTTGGTTTCAATCTACTGAACACTTTCTAAAGTGTATTAGTAAATTTTCCTGCCTTAAGTTAAATATACCAAAAGTAATTTCATCTTTCTTTGATGCTCCAGAATCTCACACAGCATCAAAGTCATTATTCTGAATATCATTTGTCATTGTAGAGAACTATAAAAGACAATAGAGATTAGACAAAATGTTTATTGGTTCCATGATACAATAACATACCCTGGAAGATATTTTTAAATATATCATTAAGATGGCATCCTATTTTTTTGAGTTTACCCCAAAAGAAAGGGCAGAATTGAGTTGAGTACCACTTAACTGAGGTTTTCCTCCATTTAAAAATACACCCTATGTCATTTTTTAAAATGTTAGTGTAGATGTACCCATAATTGGGGAAGGGGTTCTTTTCAATTTTCTTTAACAATTTTTTTAAACCCACATTGTCATTCATTAAAAGAGAGACTAAAAATGTGCTAGGATTCTGTGTATTACAATACTGACCATCTTTCTAGGATATACATGTAATGTTATTTATCTTTGTGTACAAATCTAACTACCTGTAAATCCAAGAGGTGATTTCTAAAGCTGCAAATTCTGCATACATGACCAGCACTTTGTGATTAGCTTGGCTTATTTCTTAAATATTTGATTGATTCACACATTGTAGATCAAGTGACCCTATTCTCCTACCTACATTTCACAACATGGCTGGGTTATTAGATAATCTTCTAAATTTTAGTTGGGCAGTGGAAAATGAATTTGCACAGATGGTGATTATATTTTGTTACTCTGCTTAATTTATGAAAAGCAGAGAAGCACAAATTATTAGGACTGGTTTACACAATGCCAAAATTTCTTTAAAAAATTCACACCAGCTCTTTGTTGTTGTGTAGACAACCTTCACAATAGGCATTTTATTGTTACATCTTCAGCTAAAATGACTTGGAAAAAAAAAAAGCTAATCCTTGGTTTAAGGAGCCTTTGATTATATTCACCAAAAAATTGCCATACAAAAAAGACTGCCTTGCCAGGCAAGGCAATTTAAACATGCTATGTTTGTAATGTTCTATTTTGGAATGTTTGTCTGGAATGTTCTATTATGTTTATTGTGAAGACAAGCACAAAACCTGGCCTTCCACAAAGACACCCATTTTTCCATAAAATTGAAGAATGGCATGATTGTAAAGATTGTGAAAGAATTTTACCGTATTTAATTTTTTGCATAAAAACAACTTTTTCTACTTTAATTCCTTTGAATTAAAATAGTGGGTTATTGTTTTTAAAAATTATAGCATCTTATGATTAGAGGGGTGACTTAAATATTAAATAATTAGAAGGATGACTCTTCTGACATTGCATTATAAAAATAGGATAGAGTAATGTATTATGATTGATTGGTCAGATGGAAAGCATTGGTATTGATAACATCTCCCAATAATTTACCACAGTTATCTAGCACTTAATTGGGAATGTGAAGCAGCCCAAGGAATGTGGAATGAGTAAAATACTCAGTTCTGATTTTCTTAAAATCATGTTTTCAATTTCCTTTCAGCTTAAAAAAATTTCTGTTCTGTCCTAGGTTACCGACTCAGCAAAGTGCAGCATATTTAGTCAGTAATAGCCTCATGGTGTTTTCTTCACCAATCTTTCATCTACACCTGGGTCCTTAAGAATCCTTTAGGCTTTCTTATAACATTAGAAATGTTACTTGGTGCCTGACCCAACTAAGTTTCTATCTAAATATATCCCCAATTCATTTAGATCTGTTTTTTCTGCTGTTACCATCAGATAGGCAGATGGCCTACACATACTTAGACTTAACATTTCATCTTGCTAGTGGATTGCCATTGTACCTATCCTTATCTAACCCCCTTTGGCTTGTTCTACACTTCAGTTATTAAAATTGAGAACCTAGGATAAAGAAACACCTGTTAATATTGTTCTCACAGTTTTTTAAAATTAATAAATGCTCACCCAACAGACACTAGGGACTGCTCTCTGTTTTCGAAGATGCACTGGTGCAAACTCATCAAGGCTACTAAGCAAAAAAAAAAAGTGGAAATTTTTCCTTCCATCCTAGACCATGCCATTTTCATACATCTTTAAACTAATATTTGATTTTCCATGTGCAAGAATTGTCTATTTTGGGGGGAACTCCTGCCAGAAGCTAACTTTTAGCTGTACAACCATAAGTAATGGCTCTAACTGTAACCACCCAGTAACTGCTGAGGGAAATTTATTGTTCCAAATGACATTTCAAATTAAAAAAAAAAAATTAATTGGGATCTGATCTACAGAGCTAATTTGCATTAAAAGCAATGATTTTAATCACATTTATGAGCATGCACAGACTACTATGCTCTGTGGAAGCTGAAAGTGATGTGATTGAATATGAATTGTTTAGGCTGTTTATAACATACTTAAGCACTAATTGTATCTGTTTGACCAAGAAGGGTTCTTAAATTGCATGACCACAATATAAAGGTGATTAATGAATTTCATTTACTTTTAAAATACCATTTTCCCAATGATAAAAATACTAAATTGCCATTAAACTTCCATTTATACATCTATAGGTTAAAAAAAAAGGAACATGCATCATATGCACGCAAATGCTTATGTCATACAGAGTAGCATGCTTGTTTTAGAAACTTCTTATAAAAAAAGTAACAGGAAAATGGCATAATTGTCCATATTTTATCAGTCATATGATACAACTAACAAGACTTTAAACCTTTCTCAAGATATTATTCTACTTGAATACAAGTCAGGAAAACTGGAATGGGTAGAATTAAGTAGTGGTCTCTCATGATATAACACCATTGCTATTCTTTGTTTCATGGTACCCTATATTTACTAGGAATGAGATTTTAAATTATATTACTACTAACTAATGATTGATTGGATTCATAAGTCTGAAGGCAAGTTCAACACTATGAGATAAAACAACTATGGGATAAAATTTCTCATTGCATATCTTTGGTGCAATAACTACAATGATTTCAACATCTCTTCTGTACCTGATTTTAATGGCCCATGGGAAAACTGTCTCCCTAAACTCACTATTGCCAGAATGCATTATTTGTAAAGGCCAACTAACTAAACAGCAAAGCAATGATAATATGGATTCCTGAGGTTTCTGACTGTCTGAGCTAAAATCATATCTATTAGCACAGAATGTTATACTTGAAATACAACTTCAAAATCATCAAGTCCAACTTATATTTATAGACAAAGAAAATGAGGCCCAGATAGATCCTCTTGCCCAAGGTCCCACAGCTAGTCAGACAAAGAAACCTAAAACTCAGGTTTCCCAGTTTGTAGGAGTGTTCTTTCTAGCAGTCCACATTGCCTTTTTGGCCCCCAAGAAATGTAAAAACTAAATGCTCAGGGCTAAAAACAACAGCAACAATTATTTTCAGGTAGGTATTCTCTTAGTCACTCCCATATCTGTCCCATTGACACAAAACACTACCTTAAGAGAACAACAAAGTGTTACACTAATATTTAAACTTAATACAAGCTTCCCCCATCCAAATATCTCAGTATTTTTTCCTTAAGTTACACTGAACTTAAATGAATAGTAATGGTAATTCTTTAGTTCTTAATTTAAAAGATGGCACTTATATTTAAATATTTGAGTAATGAATGGCAAATCAATGTGTACACTTAAAGCAGTTGACTCTGTTGTTTTTACCCAATACGAATATCCATTATAGAGTACCTATCTGTTATAGAAAAATACGCACTTTCAAAAACATAAATTAGGTAACTATTTGCATTGCAAAAGTGAATATTAGACACTTTTTAAAGAGGAAGCTGCCTTAATACAATTAAGTATGCTCACTTATATTATCTGATAAGGGATTTGGTTGGGAGGAAGCAGAATTGCAAATCAAAAATGCTACCAAACTGCCCGCTGAAGATCAAGAAGCATTGACAAATCCATGGAATGATACGCTTTAATTTACAGACCATTCTTCAGGAATACATGATTGCATACAGCAAAGCATGTTAATTTAAACATTAGTAGCACAGTAGCTTCTTCAAAAAGTCAAACTTAATTGAGCACAATAAGTTACTACAGTAGCAAAGCCTCTGAAATATTTTTGGTTTGCAAATAGTCAAGGGAAAACAACCCAAAACCAGGAAAAAATTAACACTCTCTAGATAAATCCCAACATTGTAAGCATGGGAATTCCATTCTTTTATTTACCTTGTGTTAAATGATAACATTTAATTAACTTGCAGTTTTAAAGCATGTCTGCATATGTTTAAACCTGTTTCCTTATAGCTCAGCAACCAGGTGTATTTGTATACATGTGAAATGGTGTGGCTGTCACTCTTTCCTTCTAAAGTCCTTCAATGACTCTTCTGTTATTTTTATCAAAAATCATTATGAAAACAAAGCTTTTATTTTACAGTAACACTTCTTAAGTCCTCTTGGAGTGTGCTGTAACAAAAGGTATTATTACTCTTTTGGAATTTACATTTTCCCTATTTTTAACAAGTAGATTCTCTGTGTGTCATTATAAAACATTAATTCAGGATTTAAGGAAAATATTTTTTCTCTAAAAAAAGTTCAAGAAAGTCCTTAAGAAAAACATTTCAAGAATCTCTAGTTGCAGCCATGTAATTCCCTTTGATTTTAATGGAAGGCATAGTATCAAGTGTGCATTTGTGACTAAAATATGAAATATTAGAATTGTAATTGGAAAAATAAGTTAGAATGTTTTCTGATGCTGAGATAATACATTTCAAAATACTAAACCAATGAAAAGTATATTTTGAAAGGAATGCTTTTTTAATCACTTAAAAGATTTCAACCATATAAGACGACTAAGGAAAAAATCTCATTCATTGTACCTTTGTTTAAGTAGTAAATATCCAGAATGTTTCTAACATAATGAAACAGCTTACCAAAACATGCTATACTGTTCCCTTTGTCTTTACTCATACTATGTAGCATGAAATCACGAAGGTGACTTTGAAGTAACTGTACAGAAATATTTATTTTTTAGCAAATGTTTTCTTCAAAGATTATGTGATATTGACAGCATAAACCATTTGCACAAATAGTTTTGCAATAACCCTCTGAAAATAACTGTAAATAGAAAAAATGTAAATTGCAATGTAAAAATTATTGCAGATTTTTGGTAGCTAAAAAAAGCATACAGGGAGTTAAACTGTAAAAGTTGTATTGATATTATAATGTACATATAGAATTCAAGAATGAAGGAAATCATTTCTGGACTATTTATATGAGACAATTGAGCTATTTCAAACACACAAATGAATATTGTTTAGAGGCATCAAAGGTGGTTCTCTGTCTTCTGATAATTAAGATAGAAACTTTTTGAGGGGCTAACTGCATTTCCAACATTTTTTATTAGGTATAGCACCAGACAGAGGCATGATGGTGCTGATTTATTTTTTTAAAAATCACTTAATTATAAGAACAGTGCTGCATTTTACTTGGGTTTATTAAGACACTGAGTAGTGGGACCGTATGGATGCATGATAAAACCTATTATGTTTAAAATTAAGGAAATGTCTTTTTTTTAAGTTCTTTGTTATAACTCAAAAGGGACTCACTAAAATAGCAATTTCCTTTGTAAAATCATTTGTCCTATTGTGCAAGATATCTAATCTTTAAACATACGACTTAATTTTAAACTGAAAAGTTTATATAACACACCATGTATTCATTTATCTTTTCCTTAGTTTGGAAAATGAAAAATGTCTGCTTTTTTAATTTACATAAATTTCTATGCATTTCTTAGTCTCTTCCCTAAGGGAGAAAACTGTATTTGCAAGAATTATTTTCTAATATATGATATAAAATCTAACAGTGAAATAGTTGGCCCTTCTATTGACAATGTGGACCTTTCAAATGCAAAGTCAAGTTAAGGAATGTTAGTAATTTATTTGGCTTGATATTCCTAACTTTCATTAACAAGAAACCTAAAACTGGCACAAGGAAAACACTCTTGCTTGTATAAATAAATGTTGAAACAAAAGCAAATATACTAAAGTAGCATGCATTGAGCAAATTTCATCAATGAACACTCCGCCAATTATTAGGTTCTAGACAGCATAGGACAGAAAGCCAAATTTTACAACTTCTGTGTTTTGTTATAGGGTTACAATTTTGGAATGATAGATACGGGAAAATTTTAGACCAACATTCAAAGGAGAATGCCACCTCAGAGTCAATCAAAAATTAGCCCATGATATCAAAGAAAAATGAATTTCTAATCTGTATAGTTTGGGGGCATGTTTCCTTGCACTGTTTGTTTAGTCCTTTGAAATTACAATTAACTGTAGCAATGCATATTTTTATAGTTAAGTAGTACTATCTAATTAAACTTGATTTGCTTGTAAAGGCCCATGGCTAGCTGTATTTGTATTTCACTTATTATAGGGCAGACTTTGGCAATCCTGGAAGTGTTGGAGGGTAGCATCAGGCCATTCTGTCCGGCACACATCTCAAAAATATGGCCACTGAAAGGTAACTTCATTACCCAAAAAGTTCCCAAATTGCCCATTTAATTGTATGTCTTAGTGTAATATGGAAACCATAAAGAAATGCTTCTACTGCTACCCAAGTAAATCACATGGCAAATTCAGCACCACACCCTGCCCAACTCACTTCCTAATAGTAAGCAATAGGAAAGTGTTGCCAAACCCTACTACAGATATGCTAATGAATTTTATTATTCCCAAAATACTATTAAAAGCCAAGTTGTCTTTACCAGACTATGTGAATAGAAACAACATTCAATTATGAGTCTTTTCATTATATATCAATGACATTCCCTATGTCCCCAAGAAAAACAAATAAATGGGCAAAAGTTAGCATAAATGATGGTTTAGAACTAGAGTAATATATAAACCCACATAGTGAGGATGTGAGATTTTGGAGGAAGCTTCCAAAGCTGTTGCAGGTAGTAGAGCAGTATCGACTACAGTGAAGAACAGCTCTGTAGCTCAATATATACATATATATATATATATATATAGCAATGTGAACTTGTAGCTTTAGGACCATCAAAAAGCATGTAAACATTATCCAAATATAATTAGTCTAAAGCCCCAACTAAAGTGCAGAATGGTCCAAAACACTTCCAAAACTGTAAGAAGGGCCAGCTGTCCTTCGTTGGTCTGATTCTATACACACACTAAAAGAAACCTTTATTTGAAGGAGCTAAAACAAATTGGATAAATTCCCTATATTAAGCTCTAGTCAAAAAAAAAAAAAATTCCAGCACACTTTTGATGTCTCTTTCAAGGGAAGTCAATGAACCACTTGTGCTGCATTTTCAAATGACTGGAGGAGAAAAAGATTTACCATCCTTGTGAGTTTTATTTCCTATACATAATTTCCTGGATTTTTGCGAAAATGTTAATATACCTGTTAATTTCCCAAGCACTGCTACCCTTTAACAGGAGAAAATACATTATTACAGATGGTGACTTTAAGAACTTTCTTTCAAAGACAAAAATCTAGTTTCTTACAGGTAATTTATTAAAGTTTGGTTAATCTGAGTGACGATAACATGCAAGATTACATTTCATTTGATTTCCCTATTTCAGTTAGAGAAAAAATCACAAGAGTGAATTTTAGTATTTTTTTAAAATGATGCATAAAGCATAAATCACAACGAAACCCATACATTTACTTCATGGATAAAATGCCTTTTCTAAATACAAATACATGTGGCAAATACTCATAATTCATGATTGCATTTTTTTTATTTTATGCTACTTTGCTTGCCGAATGCATGCTTATGAAGTTTAAAAGAGCACAATCCAATTACTTGGCATTAAGTTTAAGATGGACAAAATTAAGGCTGCTCATTAAGATGGCTCCACACTTCCTTATCGTTGGAACTGAAAATATGCTGCCACCTTAACAACATAGAATTGCAATGCCTGATATTTATAATCTGGCAGTTTTTTAGACCTAGGTGAACTACTGCACTGTTTTTATGAACTGTAACATCTCATAATATGTATGTTAACAGATTTTGTATAATGCAAAACTTTACAGAAAGCTATTTGGATGTTTATTTCTACAAAAAAATTCTCAAGATGACTTGGATCATTGTTTACTGTACAAATAAAAGCACTTGTACATTGACAGTGTAAGTTACTCAATAATTTACAACACTAACAAGAAGACTTAGAATATGACTGAATTCACAAAATCAACCAACCAACCACACTTATAATCCAGTCATGAGCACACACCAAAGTCTATATACATCTAAATTTTTAAGTCACTGATTTAGATATTTTATAGATATTATCGTAATTACTATAACACAAAAAGAGCTTCAAGAGCTGGTTGCATTTTAATATCAAAAATACTGAGCAAAATCATAATTATGCTTAATATTTTGTGAAAATATTTAATGTAAAAAGCAATATGATTATCTAGCAATTTACAAGAAAAATTAAAAATACACGAAAACTTCAAAACAAACCTTTAACCACCATGTGCAAAAGGCAGTGGGACTTTGAGTACACATCTTAAATAAGAGAAGTATAGAATTATCAAACTCAATAAAAAGGATGTTTAAACTGAGCAAATTAGTTGTCAACAACAGTTAGTTATAATAGACCGGCAGCATGATACATTGCAGTGGCGTCAAATTCAAACAGAAATGATTCCTGAAGGGCACATATTGACTTAGAAAACTACCAATTAATATTATCTATGTCGTACTGTATTTTTATTTATTTTAGTAAACATTTCCCAATTACATTTTAATCTGGTTCAGGCAGCACTACAGAGTTTACAGGTTCCAAGTTTGGCAACTCTGGTTTGGTTGGTAAACAGTAAGTGGGCCTTGAAGCCAGGAACACTTGGGCACTTGGGTTCGATACTTAATTGACACATAGTATCGGGTCAAGTACCTTACCTCTCTGCACCTTGGCAATTCTCTAAGACTGTCAGTTGCTGAGAGGTTGCAGACCTGCATTAGTACAGGGAGTGTCATCTCCTGGGATTTCCCTATGCCAAGGCAATAAAAGATCTAGTCCTTACCTCTACTGTTAGCTACAGCTTATGATTCTTCTATAAAGTCTAAACCAAAAATACATATTTTACTATGGCTCTGTCAACTTCTTCCCACACTGACAAACTGTTGTCATATGAAAGCAGACTGAACAGTTGATGGGAGTAGGCAGTATTTAAGAGGGGAAAGGTATTTATGGGAATAGAAAGAATTTAAAGACTGTGCATGGCTTCCAGATAAGTCCTCTTTAAACATTCAAGTTTAAAAATATACATATTACTTACTGAAATTTAAAGGCAACCAGTAACTGTAGACTAGCAATGTTAAATTGGCTATACTTTGCTTTTCAGAAATTATAAAAGTGAATGTTGATTTAAATTTCTATTTGTGCTATGAAAGTTTTTATCAATATGCTGCCATCTGCCCTCACACTTTAAATGGATAATTGTTATTTCTCTTAAACCACTGTAACTTTAAATGTTAAATTACTTTTTGGAAACTAGAGAAAAAACTGCGTATCACTTAGCTCATATACCACATGTTAACTATATTCTCTGTCATATAGCGCCACTAACCCTTCAGAAGGTTTTCAAGTAATATATAACTTAATCTTTTTCTATTTTCAAGTTCCTTGAAATGTTTAAGATAAAATTGGAAATGTCTATGAAGTAAAAGGGCTAGAAGCTTAGAGATAAATGGGACCATAGAAGTATTACAGTTCAAGCCCTTCAGTTTATAAATAAGGAAACTGTTCTCACTGAAGTGGTGACTAGCTAATGGTAGTGATGGGACTAGAATCCAGGTCTCCTGACTTCTACAGGGTCCTTTGTTTTTATCACCACATCAGGCTAAATAAAATAAAACACTTCCCCACAGTTAATTTATCTACTAATGGTAGGCCAAAAGGAGTCAATCATTCAGTTATTGCAACATGATAATAATATGGAGTTCTAAGTGAAGTTCTAAGTTTTTATAGTGCCTAGCACACTGCTGTTTGTTGCTGGACTGGTGCCAAAGCAATTCAACCAAATAAGTCAAAGCTGTTTTTAAAAAATACTGTTTAAACAAAGCAACTAGTTGGCTCATTTCTTTTAAATTTTCAACCATTATTTTGGCACCATGTAAAACTTACAGTAAATAATAGATGTTGACATTTTCATTCAAAGTACCTTCATTACAGATACTGGGATGTAAACCACATTCCCTTAACTTCATGTTTTCAGGTTTTACTTTCACTAATGAAAGAGGTCAAATAAAACTGTGAATTATAAGCTTGTCACTAAAATAAACAAATGAAACAGATGGAAAAATATGTTAGCAAAGAACAGCAAAGAAAATCTTAGGTCTACTGGTTCACATAAGAAAATACTGTGGTAACTCTCAGGCAACTGATCATCATCAAACTACTACTTCTGTTTTTCCCCTTTAGGTACAATTAGGTTTTTTCTTCCTAATTACATGAACAACAAACATTGGTACAAAAACCCAGTTTCTTCTTATTAATTTCCTACTGTTTATACATAATGTTTATAAACTACAGGAAAAAGTTTATTTTCAAGTTTTAGACTTTTTACCTAACCATTCTTCAATTTATCATTCTGGTTAAATATATTCCAAAGCCAAAATCACCCAAGAATGTAAAGGTAAAAAGATTAGTCTCATGCTTGGTATTTACTTTTCATTAATCATAACACTGGATTTTAAAGTATGCAGATAAAAAAATATGCAGTAATGCTTTTTCAGATTATGACATCGTAAACAAAACCACGTTTATTGCTCTGAACTGTGCACCAAGATTAAAACAGTTATACAGATACAGGCAGGAACAAAGAGAAATCCAGAAGAGCTGGAGTTCACAACAGGTTCAGTTACAGTTCTTTCTGAGTAGAAGAATTCACAGGATTCTCTCTCTCCCCCAACATTCTTTATCAGTTGGGCACTCATATGGCCATAGTACCCTGCAAAAACTAAAGCAAAAAGCAAAGTTACCACTTGACAGAAAGAAAAGTATGCTCAAAGATGATTCTTTAAAAAAACATTATTTTACCATGACCTGTCTTGGCAACAAGAAAATAAAGGTACAAGAATAACTGCAACCTTCAATTCTTGTCAAAATGTCAAAATTCCTAGTGTTGTTTTGTGAGGGTTTGTACTCTGATTTTAATTAAATCATCTGACTACATTCCCACAGAAGTATTTTCATAATTTCCCCCTTTGGAAATCTCAAAGGTCTGGCCATTCAAACCAGTTTCTAATAAAACAATAGTTCAAACTCCAGCTTGACAAAAGTATGCGTAACTAATATATTATTATTATGTCATGTTCTTGACAAAAACATCTCTATCACTTCTATATTTCAACAAGGTTAATAGCCACCAGACAGTGAGTTACTTCTCAGATAATAAAAATACAATTGTATGTTAGAAAATATATTTGTTAAAGCTTTTTTTGAGATGTATTTAGCTACTGATAAATATAAATCAAACCAGCATAAACAAAAATACCCTAAATATTAAAATGCAAGAAAGGCATATGCCAGTGTGTGTATATGTGTATGAGTGTGTACACAGCTTCAAAAATGAGGTTAGTAATAGAAATAAAAAGGTTAAGTTTAGAAATTTGTTAGTGATTATTAACACCAAGATTTGAAGTCTTATTTTTTTCTCCTAGAAGGAAACCAATTTCCAGTCAAATTTTATTTAAAAAAGAAAAGAATAGAATCTAGACCAGACTTATGATTTCCTTGATAATAGAAAATGACCAATGCAAATGCACATTTGCTCTCTAACTTACAGTAAGAGCGCATACTTTAAGAGTATACATAGAGGCAAGTGAGTCACTTGCCCAGGGCATGCAACTATTATATGTCAGAAGCCATGTTAACCCAGGTCTTCCTGATTCCAAGGCCAAGTTTGTTTATCCACTAAATCATGATGCCACTCACAGAAATTAAGATACCATATTCTCTTGCAAACACTTAGAAGATAGAGGGTATTCAAAAATAAAATGTTCAGAAAAGAAAGTATGCTTTCCATCTTCAACATAAAAATAAATTTTTATTTTATTTTAAAGTTTTAGGTTTTGTACAACTTATGAGAGGACAGGACAACATATTAAGGGGACCAAAGGCCCCTAATCATTTTGGACACTTGTCAAGAAAGCTAGAATATAATACAGAATGAATATTAAATATATTAAACATGGTACTCACATCATCATATACAAAGTTTACAAAACCTTGTTGCATGCTGTCTCTTCTCCTAAAGAAATCTTCAAACAGAAAGTAATTATAAATTTTTATACTTATTTTAGTAAAATTTGTATTTTTAAAATTTCTGGTACAGTTTTTAAAGTTTTTAGTAGTTATACATGCAATTAAATAAGACCTTTAGAATTCTTAGCAACAACAATAAACCTTTCATGATTAAAGTTCGAATGATTTTTTTCCTATGCTGAAGGACAAATCAAGTTCAGCGTTTTAAAATTAGCCCTAAAACTAGCAAAATATGAGAAGACATATCAAAATTATACAGGAAAGAAGTGCTTAAAAACTACAGATATTATTTATTCTGATAGCAAGTATTTAAGCACAAGAAAAGTCTGAACAACATTTTTATGCAGACAGAAGGAATACAATTTTTTAAATCAATACCTGTCAATGCTCTGAGCTTCACGCAGCAAGCAACATAATCATCAAAGAAGATTCTGCCATTCTTGCTATAACGCTTTACGATGGCCGTTAGCGTCTGAGGACTTAACCTATAACCTAAACAAGAAAGAGATAAAATAATGACCTACAAAATTTTGAGTCTTAAGAATATTCCTAGTGTTGAAAAAGAAATCCAAATGTCATTTCATCCACATAGAGAACTCCCAGGGAAGAAATTCTCACTATCAATGCAGATCACTAACTGTTTTGTAATCTGTCTTGGGGAGTTTCCTACCTAAGTGATTAATCCAGGGTCATGACCGATATATGGGAAAAGTAGGACTTTTCTAAGCTACTGTCCCTGCATACTTGCCCTGTTATAAAGGCCTCTATTTACTATGCCTCCTGCCTCTGCATCACATTTTCCAAAATGAGAGTCCCAAAAGACACCTTGTATATTTCTAATCAATTCTATTGAAAGCTATAACATAGTCAGCATTATAAAAGCTACTTCTATTGATATCATGACCATTTTATTCTCCCAGTCATCTGCCCATGCACATAACTTTGGAGTCATCCTTATCCCTCTTCCCACCCCTTACCTCCTATATGCAATCTGTTGCTAAGTCCCATCTATTTATGTTTTTAACCAGGAAGTCATGAACTTTTTAAAAATATATACTGTGCTGACATATTATAACATAAATGTCCTCCTTTGTGAAACAAATCTATTTTATTTTCTTTTAAAAATATTATTCTGAAAAGGGATCCAATAGGTTTCACCAGACCATCAAAGAGGTTCACAACATAAAAAAGGTTAAGAACTCTGCTGCAGACTTCCCCCACTCCAATTCACCTTTAACAGCACATTGCCCATGTAATCTTCCTAATAAAGATTTAATAATATCACTTCCCTGCTCACTATTATTTATATTGGTTTGTCATTGCTTAATAAGTAAACATTAATTAAAGACAACTCCTTACCCTAAGACCCTCCCTTTTCTGGCTCTACCCTTAAAGTAATATCCAGCTTCTTTCCCACCAAACTGGAGAACCCAATTGGCTCTTCCCCAAATCCCATTCCAGACATCTTCTACTTCCAAGGATTCTCATACCTTGAAGAGACATCCTTCCCATCTCTGCCTACTGAAATCCTTTACTGTACTTCGAAGTTCAACTTAACAGTGATTTTCTCAGCAGTGATTTGATGATCCACCTCTACTAATCAGAAGTGATACTTTTTCCTTTATCAGATCACCTGACCCCACTGTGTGTAAACTTGTACATAAATAATTATATCTTCCCCAACGCCCAGTCAGCTTCTTAAATGAAGAGACTATTTTGATTTGTATACCTAGTAGAGCCTTGAACAAAGAAGGCATTTAATAAATGTTTGCTGAATTTACACGAAACACAACACATACAGAATCTTAGCAGACAAAATTAATCATCAGTATGTACTAAAGAGATCATCAGTTTTCCTTGTCTTAAAAGTATAGCACAGCTGATGGAAAGAACATTATTATACCTACTAGAGCTTCATCTTCACTTCAAAAAATTGTAATTACATTCATAATACTTTATGGATTTTTGCTAACATCACTTCAAAGTTGCCTGTTCTCTACTTCTCCTCATGTATTAAAAGAATTGCCTTGGAAATGTGTAATTTGGCAGGACTTAGTACAGCTTTTGGAAGCCAGGGGATCACCACTGCTCCCCAAGAAAGCAGACAGCTAATCACTTTTATTTCTCTGTACCCTAATCTCCCACTATTGAGTGTCTTCACTGCTGTCCCCCACCCTTAGCTACTGAATTCTCACATTTACTCTAGTATTTCGTCATATTCTCACTGCCACCATACATTTTTGATACAGAAGACCTGGGACAACTGGGTAGGAAAAATACAAAGGTAAAAAATAAAGTCAATAAATGACACTGTGAAACTTTACAGTAATACTTTAATAAAATCTGAGTTTAACAATTGTCTAAGAATAAAGAGAAAAGCCTTCACCAAGAAATGTTAATTATTAACTAATGAGAATATAAAAAATATATGTAAACACATTTTGGGCTTTTCCTAGTTTTATAGTCATAGCTAAGATGTGGCTCTTCAGGAAAATTCTGATGAAGAACACTACTTTAAACTAAATTTCCTATATTACTCTCAACAAAATAAATATGTTCCATTAACACAGCTAAATCTGTTTAATTTAAAAACAAAATTACCTTAATATAAGAATCCATTCGAACAGACTGGATGTTTGTTTCATTTGGAAAGTACATTAAATTTCTAACAATTATATTAAGAACCAGGCTTCACTTGTTTTTTTTTAACCCTAATATATCACAAAAAGGATTTAAGTTTCATGTGCCAAAGAAAAAATGTTTATATAAGAATGAAATTATTTCTCTGTTGATAAAGTTTTCAATTCAAATTGTTGGTAATCATTAAAAAATCAGCTTTCCTATATTTACAGTTAAATTTTATTACCACTGCATTGGAATTGTGAAAAGTCAGCTTGAGCTAAACCAAAGTTTACTTCTGAAAGCTAACTCCATCTACAAGGCAGTTTGATAAACAAACTATCAGTGTAAAAAAAAGACTTAACAGTTTTCCTTATTTAAAATGTAATGCACTTTTAAGTCAGATTAAAGCAAGTTAATGGAAGCTAGTAATCCATGTGCCTTTTCATTAAAGCAGATGAAAAAAGACCCTTAGTTATTATAGCTGCTATTGTCAAATGTTTATTGTGCTGAATCTCTTTGAAAATATTATAGAGTTTGTGTACTTTTTTACTTAGTAAGCCCTTAAATGTCCGTGTGTAGGAACACCACAGAATACTCTGCAAACGATTAAGAAGTAGAACTGATAGCCATTGATCTTGAAGTTCTTAAAATTGAAACTTCTTCCTTTATATTTAGTATAATTAAGTGAGGTTTTAATGGATTAAAGAATATAACAGTATTTAAATATAACCTGGCAAAAATATAGTTGCAAGAGTAAGCACAACTCTTTTGTAAATTTATTTTGTAAAAATTTTTAACTACCATGAATGTAGTAATTATAGGTAAATAATTTTGCCAAAAGTATTCATCTACATCTGCAACTTGGGAATCAAAACCAGAAATCAGTGACCTTTGAGGCAAAATAAACCCCCTATATTTTAAAGTACAACAGCCTAATGCTAAAATGAATTCCATTTATTCAGAAAAGGGCAGTCATCTATTTAAATGCTCAAGTTTCCATGGTTTCTTACCCATAGCTGCAATTACTTGACTCAGTTCATGAAGTTCAACCGTCCCACTTCGGTCCTGGTCAATCATCATAAAGTTCTGCTTCCAGGCATTAAGAACTGCCCAAAGTTCCTTGAATTCATTAAATCCCATTTTTCCTGTGAAATCCCTCTGATATTATTTTCTTAACAAAAATAACTGTCAAGAAGAATTCACTAAATGAAAAATTCTAAATCAATGAAGAGAAAAACACATAGTATTTCAACTCTATAAGAGTTTAGTAGTCATAGCCAAATTCTGTATAATTTCTATGCAAACTCAGAAAGGTTGGCACTCAAAGAAGGTGTTACGAAATATTTTTAAACACTAGTTTCCCATAGCAGTTTTAAGCTACTAATTGGCTTAAAGTGATATTCAAAATGGAATTACTCTAAGTTATTCAATTTTCAATTCAAAACATTTTCTTATTTAAGGATACATCCAACATAGAGATCATAATTCTGCAGGTTTCCAAGCTGAATGCTGAAAAATATAATGAAAAGTTGAAATGGAGACTGCTCAACATCACTGGTGTCATTTTTGATAACTAATTCTTATGCTAAGCATATATTTTTTAAAATCAAGAATCAAAAATATAAAAGTAGAAATCTTATTTAATTATAAAGATTCCTAATGAAATACTAAAACTCTCATTTAAAAAATTATCCATTGGATATGATCCATTTTAATTTTTCAATCATTTATATATCACAAATACTAACTTGAGCATTGGTTGCTAATTTTGACAGTCAAATATTTCCCTCAACGGGACTATTGTGAAAACATTATGTTTCTGCTCTATTATTAATCTTCTGAAAACTGTATGAGAGATGAGGTAAAAATTGTAAATGTTCTGAATATAAATTTTAATATATACTTCAAGTTAAAAGTGATTTTTATTTAACAAACATTAGGTGCACACTATGAGTATGGCACTAGTTTAGATGTTAAAAATTTAAAGATGAAATGAAACAGTCCTTGATGTCAAATCCTTGTATTCTACTTAAGGAACAGAAGAATAACACAGCTAAGAAAATATAACCTAGTTGCAGGAGACAGACACTAACAATTTTGGCAGGGGGTAGGGGCAGAGGTGGACAAGTGGGAAGAAATCAAGGTCTTCACTAAAGGTGGAGCACTTGAACTGAGTCTCAAAGGCATGTAAGGATTCTGAAAATAAGACAAATAAGCCATGAATGTAAGGATTCTTAAAATAAGACAAATAAGCCATGAAGTTCTTAGGGCCATCCAATCAATACCTGAAAAAAAAAAAAAGAATTCCGTCTACAATTTAATTAACAAGTGATGACCCATGGTTTGCTTAAAGACCTCTAATGAGAGGCAAACCATTACTTCCTTCAGCACTGCATTCCACTTTGGGTTAGGTGACTGGATGGTTTATGCAAAATCATAGAGGCAGTTAACTCTTGAGTGGAATAGTCTGTAGGGCCCTGTTACTTTAAGTAAGATTCTCATTTCTGGGTATAAGTCAGAAATTTCTGGAAACTACATTAAGATTGTCTTTCAGCAGACTAAATAATGCTCTGCTAGGCTAATGCAGCTCAAAATTATGGAGTATGTAGTAATCTGAAAAATATAAGCCAAAAAGATAAAACTGCCATTAACCTAAGTGATAGATTTATTTTTCATTTTTAGTCTGGGACCCTACAAGTGTATACAGCATACTAAGCAAAAAAGGAATGAAGACCCAAATAAGTCTTAAAGTGAATTAAATTTCTATTTCAAAAGCAAAAAATTTAGATCTTACGAGAATAGGTTCCACTAATCCCAGACTGCGTTAAACATCTCTGAAGCTCTTCAGCATCCACTTCACCATCCTGCAGAATACGTTTATGGTTCATATTCACAGAAGATTACAGAAAAATATCATTTTGGTACTATAATCAATAAAATCAGTATGCTTTCATATAATTTCCAAAGTTTTTTTATACGCAACTATGAAATACAATAGAAAATGATTATGGAAATAAAAGAAAGATTTTTGTGGGACCTGTATAAACTGTTTTTTTCTAATAACAATGTAAATTTGTACTAGTGTTACAATAATATTTTTAAATAAAATTTTCTACAGTGATCTGGGCAACATGGCAGCCCTCCTTGTGATACAGTTATATTTTGTGGCAGTCACAGTATATTAATTTACACAGCAGATGAAAAAAATTATTAAGTAATTTATCTTGAAAAATCTCAAGCGCCTCATAACTCAAGTTTCTATTTCTTTGGGATTTTTTTCTATACAATAAAAGAAATCAGAAAATTTTACTTTTACTCGCCATTCCCTTGTTGAAATTTCAGGGCTCCCCTGTAGTTTTGCTGTTATTCTCCAAGTTATTTCCTAAACATGCTCCATCAGGAACTAAGCAGTTTTGTATGGTAAAGAAACTAACAATAAAAATAGGAAACCAAAATCAGGAAAGGAGCCACTATCAACCTATGGTAAAAACCTGAGCCATACTCTAATCTTGTACTGCCTCATTCCATTCCTGCAATCCTGTTTTATAAGGGCATAAAAACATGACATTAATTCAAATAAAAATTATACAAAAGAATATTTCACACAATTACAAATTACAAATGCTAGAGCAGAAATAGGAGATATGAGAGCAGGACAAGATGGAAAATCTGAAAGATGTACATTCCAAGGTATCCAAATATCTAAATCTGTTAAAACCACAATAGCTTTCCCTTAGAACTACGGTAAATACTTCTAACATAAATATATTATAATTTTGTCTCTGGCAAATGAATCCCAAACACAAATTCAAATTGCCCAAGCAGGGAAAGGAAAATGTTGTGAAAAGTCCCAAAGGACCACAATACATAGATTTTCCCTGTTCAGAGATTCCATGAAAGATCTTGGTTCCCACAGTATTTTTATCTGCCCTTAACTATAAAATTTTGAATACTATAAACATTAAAACCGCCCTTTTAGATTAAGCAGACTAAGATTGTTAGAATGCAAAGTTTTCCCTCAAAATTATAGTAATTAGCTAAAGACAGAATTTGTAATACAGTCTATTTTAACCAGATGAAACAGTTAAATTTCAAATATGGGCCACAGGGCAGTAGTTTCATAACAATTATACTGAAAGCCCACTTTTAAAACCCTTGGGCACACTTCTAAGGCAACCTGAATTGCCATCATTAATAGCAATGACAACAAATACAATGCAGTCTAATATATTAAAAATCACGTAATACTACCTTAGTAATAAACTTTAACTACTGTTATGGGTTTTTTTTTTCTTTCTGAAGAGAAAAAAAATTTAAAGCCATCGGTGTTTTTTTTTTAATTACTCCAAGAGTCGGGGGGGTGAGGGGGTGGGGGGAAAGAGTAAAAATCCCATTTCTACTTTTTTTTTAACTTTTCTTGTTAACTGCAAAGTAAAGGGAGAAGAAGAATATATGAAACCAACAACAACTGTGTTCTTTGAGAAAGAATGAGAATACTTCTTTAGTAAAAGCATTAAGCTAACAAGAACTTTTTAGGCCCCATCACAGCCTTACAGCCTTCCTTCAGTTTTCTATACTCGCCTATGAACAATACAGGCAAACAAAACAGATTCAGTCATAAGTTATCAGAAAGGAAGAATTTAACTTTTTCAAATCTGTATCAATACAATGGCAAAAACAAAAGAATATCAGGAGTGATCTAGTGGTGTAAATCACAAGTCGGACTCAAACTTGTTTTATTACCTTTACCTAGGCCTAAGGAAAACAGTGGGAGAAAAAACCCTTCAGCTCATAAAAGAAGCATCCATGAGCACTTTTATGCTCACAAGAGTACAGAAGGAACCTAGAAAGGTATCTATAGTGTAAGATTGTTTTTAAAAGAAAAGGAAAAGAACTTAAAAGGTTATAGGTTTAATAGATATCCAACAGTAAGAGACAAAATTAAACTTATTTTGAGTTGAAGAATAGTATTGCATTTCTGAGTCTTTTGTTGACCAGTCCCATTGAGAGTGGAATGAAAACTCAAAAACACAATTTCTCTACTTACCCTCCCCCCACCATGGAAAAAAAAGCGAGAAGAGAAAAAGTCAATAAACTCTGCATGTCAAATTTCTACCTGCTCAGTTCTTTGCAAGTCAAGGCCAGCGCTTCCATCACCCCACTGGTCTGCTTTGCTACATGGTAGATGACAGACTGTGGTAATGTGCCTCGTACATCAGGAGTGAGTATGTATTCCCCCTACAAAAAACTAAATTTACTATGATATTATCATAGTTGAGAATTAAATGCTATAAAAATCAGGAAATTCTTCATCATATTTTTTTATCAGGTCTTTAGCAATTTAAGTGTTACCACCTCACCCATAATAAAGATCTTTATTGAACATTTTATCCATAACAAAGATCTTTATTATACACTTACATGATTTATGTAAAATATATAAAATTTTAAGATAAAACCTTGCTGAGTCAAGATACACTCATCCTGAGTACTGGAATGTCTTTTCAAAAAGTGAACAGTTAAAATAGGCTAAATTGTGCCAATTAATTTATTTTATTCTATAAATATAAGATCATTATATATAACTGGAATGAGTTTGATGAATGGGAAGAATACAAGCTGGCATATAAAAGTTACAGAAAAGACTATGTCAGATCTTATTTCTCATTTATTAAGGAAAAAATAATTTTAAAAAGACAAAAGTCAGAAACAAAAGAAAGCACACCTGTCTTTCAGATTATAGATTCAATAACAGAGGCTCATAATGTTTTACCTAAACAATTTTGTTAAGAAATTTTGCTACATGTTAATTTTATACAGACAGAGAAAGAGAAACAGACAGACAGACAACCTTTGGAAAACATTACTTACAAGTGAAAACTATATTGCAAAATGGAAAAAATATCTGCTCCTCTAGCATCAGTTTGAATTAATATTATAAAAGCAAAGTGGATTATATAGTCTATTTCTTGCTTTCAGGAATACTCATCCATTAAGTGTATCTACTTGTCACATATTTATTATCTCATGCTTCTCAGATTTATCACCAAAGAAAAAGTAAGGTAACCTTTATTAAGTATAAGATGGAGGTTTTATAGTTATCTTCTATAACTATGGACCTCCAATTTTAGGTAGGTTAAATTTATATAACATGCATAAAAGACTCCACTACCTTCTAAGTCAAATGGGAACCAAATTAAGTTGACTTGACAATTCCGGGAAAATTAAACTTGTTTTTAATAATATAATTGATCCTTTACCAAAGGAAGCCTCACCATTCCTTTGAAGAGAGCTGGAAGTATTACAGGATTAATAAGGAGCACATGCACAGTAGTTTTCCAAAATAAAATCTGGGCCATGTGGTAAGACAAAAATGAACAAGGCTTTGAAAGTCTCGTTACAAATATATCGTATTTCCTAAAATTGAGATCATCTAAGAAAATCCAAAGTCGAGATAGACAACTGAGTCATTGTCTACCCTAGTAGAAGGTGTATAAAACTCTCTTAGTAAGATAAAACCTTAATTTCTATGACCCTCTCTGTTCTTTGGGTGTGAGAAGCCTAGTTCTTAAATAGTTGATAATTCTGTTATAACTAGATGGTAAAAGCAGATATATTAGTACTAGTGAAAAATGTATGGAATAACCCATGAATATATAGTTGTGTAACAAGGATAGTAGTACCTCCTACTGAAAGAATAAGCCCTGCTTAAATCTCAGCTTTCTGGATGCAGAAACTCATGCACAAAGAATCCAGTTGTCTTTTTTTGGATTTTTTTGTGCTACAGACACTTCTGACACACTATATGGTGCATAATGTATATATAGTATATAAAATATTAGTACAAATTCTCATTTATTTTCAAAAGTTGATTTTTAAAATTATGGCCAAGATACATGCATATTATACCCTTATGTTATATTACCAAAGACTTTATTTTTGGAAAACAGGATTAATAATTTACTGGAATCACAGACACCCTATAATCCAGAGAGATATTTCCTGTTTTCTTCCCCTGCACCCTCCCCCCAGCAAAACAGGGGAGATATGCATACAGAGGCACCATTATCTGTGCTAATTCTTAATCCTTTGTTTCTCAGGTTGGCTTTTATGTGTCATAGTACCTTCTTTTTACCTGCCTCCCTCTATGACTACTTGCTATTTGCACTGAAAAATGAAGCCTGATCTTAAAATTACATTAGACAAAAGATAAACAGGATGATGACTATCCTTTTGGGAAGTGGGGGAGAGGAAGCAATAAGGTCTACCATTTCAAAGCCAAATATACATGATTTTTGGATTATCTGCTGTAACACTCTCACCCCCTCTTTAATATGCGTAACTGAAAGTTGATCACAGTATTACTTTTGCCTCCGATTCTTTTCAGTTTTGTTAAAATTGAATCAATAGTTCCAGTTACAATAACAGTTGAAAAGAATTGCCAATCTTTTCAATTCCAAAAGAATGCTTATTTTGTCCTTACAAGCCTTATTTTCCAAATAATTCCTATTTACCTTAAAAAATTTTTCAGCAATTTTTAAAGATTTTGACAAGCCAATTTTATACTTTGATTGCTACGATTTATCCATAATAATAAGCAAAAGTTACCATGTACTCACAATGTGCTAGTCACTGTTAGAAATTCAAGTTAGTTAAATATAAGGAAGAAAGGGGAAATAGTTGATATGAACAAAGGACTGGAAATGGGAAAGGGATCCACAAGCTTCACCAGACTGTCAAAGGGATCATGACACAAAAAAAGTTAAGCGCTTCTGGACTAGATGGCAGCTAAGGCTCCCAACTTTGAAATTCTGGAATTCTGGGAAAACTGAGGAAATGTACAGGCAACAGCAAATAGTACAGT